ACTCTCTCTCGTGTGCTGACAGCACGTACGAGTGTGTAGCTTCTCTCGGAGTTCACGAGTACGGTTTTAGATATGATGATAGAGACAGCCACGTGTATAGCTACCACAGCAGCTGACAGCTTTGACCGTGATTTGGTCAAACTGTGTGAAATCTTTTCGTGGTCCTCTGTGTTTTGGTGCTCTTTAGTCCTCTGTATGGTGGCTTTTGATTATCTGTTAAATCCCCACCAGAAAACGACATCAAAACTCGGGTTCCATGAGAAGCATGGGATTAGGCTCTCTTTTTTTTTCTTTTTTTTTTCTCTCCCTTTACGAACATAAGATTACCATTTTTTTTGCATGAATTAGTTAGGATGCATTTGTTATAAAGTCAAGAGTTAGAAGAGGACTATTACAAGAGTAAATATTGAACGAGTAATTTTTAAAAATATAAAAGAAAGCATGAAATTAATCTCTAATGAAGTTAGCATCTTCTTAACTTCCTACTAATGAGAGTTTAAAAATCTAAGCATGCTGGTGGCTAGGTTATCATAAAGTTTCGAACAAATAAAAAAACAAAGCAATGCAAGAGTACATCAGCCAAAACATTAAAGGGCAAAAGAAAGAGAGAGAAAATGAGTTGGAAGTTGGAAGAAGGGGGGAAAAAAACTTCTCTCCAGAAAATACTATACATTAATTAATGAATCTCATTGGTAAAATCTGAATAGAAAAAAGAGACAATGAGATAAGGTTGAGGAAGTAAAAAAGAAAACAGAAGTACTACATGATGTCAATGGTGTCAAAAAAATAAAACCCATCATAATTGTATAAGAATAGTGTTTTTTTAGAGGAATACAAATAAGAATATTTTATTTCAATAGATATTATGTCATTTAACATTTTGATTTTTTAAATTTATTCCTAAATCTTTTTTATTTTTAAAAATGGTGTACTGTCACTATGATATCACTAAACATTTTTCAAAACAAAAGAAGACAAAACACAAAGTTGTTCTCCATTAATATTAAAATTATCCATCAATCATTAAAAAGAGTAATTACCCTTTGGGAGAGGGTGCTTGTTGGCTTCTTTAATAATTTGTCTCTCCGGTTTGTGCACCAAAACAGATACAAACATGAATTAATATTCTTATAGATTTCAAGCTTTTTCAACTTCATAACTAACAAATTCACCCATCATGAAAGATTATGTACAAACAAAAACAAATTTGAGCTTTGATGATATTTTATCGTTAATTTGAAAATACAATTGATCATTTTATCATCAATGAAACGATCCAATCAGAATATTAAGGAAAATAAGACGGATAGAAAATCAAAATCATACAAGGTCTCTCAAAATCAACCTCTTTAGAATTTATTAATCCCTACATTTTTTATTAAATCGAACCACTTTGCTCCAATGTACCAATTGTTCGATTTCCTCCATCCATCCGTATATATATGTATATATGAATCCACTGTGATTTAGTTTTCATTTGACAACACTGAGGGATGCTAGATAATTTTAAGTAATGAATACTTATTAATTTGTGATATTTTAGAGAAATCCACGAGAGATAGTGCCGTTTTGTTCAATGATAGTGATATCTTGGCATCTATGAATAAACAAAGAAAGAAAGCAATCCACAGCCAGAAATGCTCGCTCTTTTTAAATATAAAAAGAGGCATGAGTACATTTGACTGGATAATTAGACGTTGAAAGAACATGCGTGATTGCTATACAAATTAGCAGGCATGGTTTACATGTTCCACTCAGATGCTAGAACGGCTTTTTTTTTTTTTAATCCTCTCTTCTTGCAAGAGTAGCCATAAGATGCTCGCGCATCGCAGGAAATAGTACTCCTGCAAATGTTGGGCAGAAAATAGGCAAAATAATAATAGTAATAATAGTAATCGGAAACGGTTAACATGAGAAACGCATGCAATTGCTTAACTCCATCAATTTGTCACTATAGGTTGGAATCTACACACTTGATATACCAAATTCTTTGTTGCTGTTGCTTCCATTTTTACTGTTTCAATTTTATGTCATCAAAGATACTTACATATATGTCAAGCATTAACTATTATCTCTTAATCAGGGCCCTAGTTTTATGGTGATTTTTATAATTATTTTAAGGCTTCACAATTACGGTTTTACGGTAAATATTATCTTATTTTATTGTAATTTGACAATTTCAAACATTTATAATCAATTTACATAATTTAAACCTTAAAATATTCATTTTTAAATAAATCTTATTCAAATTTCATTATTTATAATGATTAATCTAGTTGATAGTTAATTTTTTTCTACTTTTATTTTTTATTTTTTGTTATTTTTTTTTAATATTAAAAATATCTTTCCTCCATTTTTTAAGAGATGTTCTTTCTATTTAAAAATTTTACATATTAATCCTTTTAATTTATCACTAAATTTACCTAGTTTATTATGAAATTGCATTGGCTTTTTTCATTTTTATAATAAAAGGAGCTAAAAGTCAGAAAAACAGAAGACTAACAAACAATATGGAGAATCGCAATTCCAATAACACCAACGCACAAAAGACTCACATCCCTACATGTGAGGAATCAAAATAGATTTTATTAATACCATAGCACAACTATCCAAAAATAATTGCTATTCATTTTGAAATAAGTAAGTGGTTATCAATTATTGAATAGATTTAATTACTTATTGCATCATAAAAAAAATATTCACAATCTAACTTGTTAACCCATATTCGTGATAATTAAGATTAACTACTATTTCCATAAAAAAGTATTCATTACTTTTAGAGAAGACGAAAAGTAATATTAACTTCAAAAAAAATCATTTTAATGTGCTTGTGAAATATTAAGTACTTGTTGTATGGTAAACTTTATTTTATTACTTTGTAAACTTTGAATATAGTATAATTATAGTGCATTTCAGTATCATGATAAACACAATCCAAGGTTTTTTATGTCAACAACAACATTCAACTAACTGAAGACATAAAAAGAGACTATTAGATATTAATTGACCGAAGCCAAAAATTTCTAAGGATGGAATTGTTTGTCCGGATCTTTTACAGGGAATATTCGAAATTCTTTCTTGTCATTGCTTCCAACGACATCTTAGTTTTGTGATTAATTGTCAATTGGCATACGTCTAGCTAGCATGGATATTCTTTGGAGCCTTGATTTGGGAACTATGCCAGGAATTTTAAAATACTGTATAGGTCCATTTTTAAAAAGGAAATAGACACATATATTAAAAAAAAGTGTATATATATATATATATATATATATATATATATATATATATATATATATATATATATATATATATATATATATATATATATATATATATATATATATATTCAAATTAACCCACTAAAAGCAATAAAGAAGATTTTAATTTTGCTTTATATATATTGTTCATACTGAGAGATTATCGATCAAGTCACTAATTAGGATGGTTCTTTAGATTATAGTTGTTAATCTCGACATCCGTATGTCCAACTATCCTCAAATGCATAAGATTCGGTGGTTATCAGCTCATCCTTAATTATTCAAGGTGTTCATTCATGACCAAAAAAGAAAAGGTGTCAATTTATCGACACAGACTGTTTAATCCAACCAACAAATCCCTACTAAAAGAAAGAATAGAAGCATATATGCAGATGACATCTTTAATTTTGATCCACTAGTTAAATGGTTTAAAAAATCCATGTAATAATTCCTTGCTATGGTGCATACATCCACTAAGCAAAGTATCTGCCAAAACATCGATAGTATTGAGAAGGTCATTTTTTTCTTCTTGTTTTGCGATTATATTCTACCAATGATTTGTCCTGGAGGGAGCTTTTCAGCGAATGCATCCTATTAAGGCGTCGGGTCCTGATAGCATGCCTGCGTTATTCTACCAGTACTTTTGGCCCTCGATTGGGAGGTAGTGTTGCCATCATTTATTACAAATCCTCTAATGAGGGTGTTGATCCAAATTCTCTAAATCATTCTCACCGTAACACCCAAAGTGAATAATTCAAAATCATGTACACAATTTTGGGTTTTCTCCACAATTAAACCCCTTATCTTTCCCTTTTTTATTGAAATTCTCTGTTTTTTTTTTTTTTTTAACTTGATTGACATCTTTAATTTTTTAAGATTTATTGTTTTATACTTTTTATTATAACACTATCAATCACTAATTAATACGTCATTTTTACTTTTTGAGATTTCTTGTACACCAATGTCATGTCTCGATTACTAATCGATAACGTTATAACAAAAGGTCTAAAATAAAAAAATCTTAAAAGAGTAGAAAATTTCAGTTAAGTAAATAATAAAAATAGAGGGTATTAATAAAAAAATCAAAAAATAGAACATCTTAACATATATATATATATATATATATTAGCTTAAGTAATGTTGTTGCAAAACTCATTACTAAAGCTATTGCTAATATAATGAAATTGATTTTGCCGTTTATTATTTTGGATAATCAAAGTGGTTTTGTTTTTTTTTTTTTTTTTCAGAGAGGTTAATTACATATAATGGTTTGGAAGCTTTTGAGCTGTTTGATAATACGAAATTGGAGAGGGGGCAGCATGGCTATTTGGTATTCAAGTTGGACATGAGCAAGACATGTGACAGGGTGAAATGGAATTTTCTAAGAGCACTTATAGTTCGAATAGTCTTCAATCAGAACTGGGTAGACTTGATCGTGAGGTGTGTTACCACTGTTTCCTATTCAATTCTAATTTATAGGTGTTCTGGAAGTAAGTTCCATCCTGAAAGAGGCATGAGATAAAGGGATCCCCTCTCCCCATATGTGTTCCTACCGTATGCTGAGCTTGCTCTGCATTGATTAAGAAGGTCGAGAAAACATGACGCATCGTTAATAGAATTAGAATCTAGAGACAGATAGGTGTAAGAGATTGTAGAAATTTATGACAAGTATTTGGGTTTATCAACCGTAATTGGAAGATCTAAGAGGTGAATTTTTTATTTAATTTGAGACTGGATTAGTAAGAAGTTGAATGAGTGGAAGGAGAAGAATTTGTCTAGAGCCGAAAAGGTGGTTCTAATTAAATCAGTGATTTAGGGAATTCCTACCTAAGTAATGAGTTGCTTTAAAATTCCACATTCAATGAGATGAGATAGATTCTTTAATACGTAAATTTTGGTGGGGAAATAAGCCGCAAGATTTGTTGGGTAGCTTGAGAAAAAATCTGTAACGGTAAGCTTAATGGCGATGCTCTTTAGGCCAAACAAGGATGTAGCTCCCACCACCATCCTACCTTTTTGTTGTGTAGAATATTGAAATCTCAGTCCTTTCCAAACTCTTATTTTTTGAATACTTCTTTGGGTTCTAGACCTAGATATATGTGGCGTAACATCTTAGGAGGGAGAGATTCTTGAACAAGGATCACCATGGCTAATGGGTGATGGTAGCTCTGTGAAGATCTGGAATGATAAATGGCTTCCTCAACATAATGGATTTTGCATTTGGTCTGCCATGAAAGTACTTGATGAATAAGCAATTGTTGATTAATTGATCCTTGCATAACAAAAACTATGAAATTTTACATTGATCAGCTCGATTTTCTATCCATTTTAAAGGAGTTTGTTTTAAAAATATCCGGATTGTAATCATTCTATTTATTTTGTAGAATCTCTTCATTATTAGTTAATGTATAAATATAGAAGTTAGCTAAATAATAAGAATAGTTGACCTTAAACTTTAGCTATCATTCTTAAAAAAAATTATTATTTTTATAATTTATTTAAATCATATACTTATGTTATATCAAATATGCAATAGATTTATCCCATTCTAAATTTCTTTACATTTAAAGCAGCACAGATTGAGGATATCCCCCTTAGTTGAAGAAATCCTTGTGACCGATACGGTATTTGGGCATTTGGCTAAAGATGGTAACAATAAGGTTAAGAGCCGATATTAGGTTGTATTGCAGTTAGAAGAGAGGATGCGACATCCAATAGCTTGTGGAGGCACCAAAAAGACAGTTTATGGTAGAACACCTTTTGAAAACTATACATGCCTCCTAAGGTGAGTGATTTTATACTGAGAGCACTGGCTAATTGCCTGCGCTATTCTACAAATTCGATAGAACAAAATTATTTTAAAACATTTTAATTATAATTATTTATTTAATTAATTTTTTTATAAATTTTCTACTTAATATATATATATATATATATATATATTCTTTATGAATTGATTTTAAAATAAAAAATTATAATACTAAAATATTAATTAAGAATTAAAAAACTTTAAAAATATAATTTTCATAATATTGTATTCTAAAAAATAAAGTTATAATCAATCGAAAAACTTTTACAAAAAGCAACGAATGAAAAAAAAATCTTATTTAATACTTATGAGAAGATTAATTTTTGAAATTATCCACACAACGTCATAGGTATATAGAATAAAACATTTCAAACTTTTATAATTTTTTAATTAATTTTTTATTTCATTATAAATATTTTTTTGTGTGTTTTTCATAAAATTTCTACTAAAAAAAACATGATTTATTCTTTTTTATTCAGGGATTCTTAAATAAAAACTTGTAATAATTTAAACTTTAAATATTACTTAAGAATTCAAAAATAAATACTTTAAAATTATATTTTTAATAAGAATGTATCTAAAAAATAAAGTTACAATTAATGTATGGACTTGCATTAAAATTAACCAATAAAAAAATAAAATTTTATTCTTATGTAATGTTGGTGAGAAGATTTTTTTCAAGTACATGCATTTGATCTATATATATTTATTTATAAAATAATCAATAAAATTAGCATAAAAAACCGTATTTGAATAATTGGTTGGTTCCTTTAAAAATATATTTTAATTATGATATTTCAAATAAATCGGTTTTATAATGTTGAAAAATATTTGTATTAAATATTTTGTATTATGTTGGAAGATGTTTAATTACTTTTTAATATAAAAATAAGAATAAAAATTAATTTCATGTGAATTTTTATAATAAATTGAAAAGATCAATTTTAAACAATAAGAATAGTATATATTTATTCTAAAATTTAAAAACATATCGTATATATTATATAATCATCGGTTTATGTGGAAAAAAATAACGTTTGATTTTTTAAAATTTTAACATCCAATTAGAAAAAAAAAAAAAAAAGAACATAAATTGATGAGAAAAATCAAGGGAAAAAAAAAACAAACAAAAATCATGTGTAATGCATCAACTAGGGGATTAAAATTTTTATTTTAAAATTTTAAGAATTAAAATGAAATAATTTAGAAACTATAAAAAAATTGTGTGAATAATACTTTGTAAATAGATGAATAGTAAAACTCCTTCTTCAAGCATCCTATTTCTTTTAGTTATGCAGTAACATAATAGTAATGTAAAGAAGCACTGCCACCAAGGGTCAATTTAACCAAAATAGTACAGTTAACTGATATTACTTGTCTCAGGTGTGGCACCGCATGGTAAGATACACTATATGTATTGGAAGCTTGCAGTTAGTCTAAGAGAGTGTGGTTTGCATCCTCCTTTTTGTGGGGTCAGGTCCTCTTAATACAAAGCTCAAAATCCATGTATATAAAATAAGAAGGAAAAAAAAACGAAAGATATTGGCAGAGGGTCAAACGCCAGACCTGGTAATTCGGTGCCACGTCTGCACCCCATCCAAAGCTATCGATTGAGCATTGACTAATAACCTTTTACGAGGAGGTGATCATTTGGTTAATTAATCATTAGATGAATTCTGCTCCAAATCGATTCTGTGGACTACATATTTGGTCGTATAAAAGATCAATAGCGAAGATCTAGATTGATGGTATGGTTAATGTAATATGATATATAAAAAAACAATAGCGAGCATGTATAAAATAAGTTTTTTTTTTTAATGTTTGGAGAATTATTCGATTGTTAAGTTAGCATATAAAAAAATTTTAATCTGAATATATTCAATAATATTTTTAATTCTTAATAGGAGAAGATATACAATTTTATATCAATTATAGAGTTTAAAAGATAAATTCTCTAACACATAAAAGTTAACTTTTATATGATGGATGATATGTTTAACTTGTATAGAATAAAGGGTAGAATAATTCTTTTCTTCGTGTAACAATTTTTGACATTTATCTGCATATTGGAGATCTTTTTATACATGTTTTAAGTTATCAATGTATGCATAATCATGTTGAATGATAACGTGATGGACATTTCATATAAATCACGTTTTTATTAAATACATGTTTGTTTTATCTAATAAATGAAAAGGAGGATTTTGGTCAGGTCCTGTATGTTCAGGGTTTGTCGAGCAGTGAAGTTCGTTTATGATTGTGTTAAGGGTCGGGTGACTACAAAACTACAAGCAGAAAGGCCGATAATCATAAGAATGCCTACTTTTCAGCAGGCTCTGTAGAGAGACATGTGGTGTAAGACGAATTTATACAAATATATTCATATTGTGCATCCTAGTTCCAAGAGATTAATCCATCGGTTTTGACTCCTCATCTATTGCTCCTACCCAAAATGCAATTTGGCGAAAAAGAAATTGAACTTTGTAGCCAAGTAACTGGAGCTAAGCATACTTTCGTCAGAAATTTTATATTACTCGTAGAGTAAGAATTAATATTTACATTACAAAAGAGATAGATATATAAAAAAAATAAGTCGAAGTAAAAATATTTTTATCACCTTTAACGTATTCTAATGTGATTTTTTTAAAATCTATTTATCTCTTAAAAATAGATCAATTAAATAATTATTATAAATATACCATAGTTACTTCTGAAATATTTTACTATAATTATTTTTAATAGGCTTGAATGTGATTTTGCTGGCTTGAGCTAGGTACCAGCTGATCGTGCTAGATCTTAAGAGTTTATATATATATATATTTATAAACGAGGTTTTGTGATTTTCCAGTGAAGATTAATTATTGGCTGTAATTGATAGGCATACACGACACTGTCATTAATTTCATTTTTCTTTTCAAGAGAAAAACATAAGGAAAAAGCATATCGTCATATAAATATGCTTGCTATATTTGTTGTATGATACTTGGTATACACCGTATGCACCGACAAGCTAGCTAGCTAGTTAACTATATATATATTCGCTAACAATTGCAATTTCTGAATCATCGTATAATTATTTTAAAACCTTTGATGAGCATTTATGATCTATTTGTATATTATCAAAAGTTGTAGATAGAGTTACAAGAAAAATTATCTCTAATTGTTAGATAGGGGTTCAATTCTTATCCTTAAAAATTTATTCAGTTGTTTTTTATATGGTACTAGACATGACTTATTGGTGACATCAAAGAGTTCAATAATTAAAATTAACTAAAAGTTAGATGTGATCTAGTGATGATTTAATCTAAAAATAATAAATTTAGTCTTGATTGATGCGAAAGCTAACTCATATATACATATATATTAAGGATGATAATTGAACAAGTATAAAGCAAATACCCGCTCTATACGACTCAATAAATATTCATTGAAAATGTCCGATGAATATTGAAACAAGTAAAAAGAAAAAAAAACATATTCATTAATATAATTTTAAGGTATAAGTACCTACTATATATTCTATCAATACCTATTAATTTATTTTGATTTTTTTTTTAACGTATAAAGACCTAATTGCATAAATATTTAAAAATTAGAGACCAAATATTTTTAAAAAAATTTCGAGTATCAAAAGATTTATAAATAAAGACTAAAATGTAAAAAATAATTTTAAGGTTCAATTTTTTATAAAAAAAATCACAGAGACTAAAATTATATATTTTGACAAAGTATTTTAGTAGGTATTAAATAGGTAGATAAATCATGTATGGGTTGAATAAAAATTTATAAAGTGATTTCTTAAGAGACGTGAGTAGGATATTTTTTTAATAAATGAGGTAAAAAATTGAAATAACATGTTGAATACGGGTCTATTGCCATCCCTATCTCTAACAAAGCTAAACTTGCTAGTGCATATAAACGAGGAAGATTTCTTAAGAGATACGAGTAGGATGTCTCACTTGCCACGAAATCAATTTCATCCGCAGCTCTGAGGGTCAAACAAATTATGCTATGCGCCCATAAACAATTTATGCGCTGGAACATTGAATTGGCAAAGCATATGCAGTGTCCTATGGTCTAAACCAGTATATAAACTTTCCACTTTGGTCTTACGCAAGATTGTCTTTCAGGAGCTATCCAGATCTGCGAACTCAGATAACTACATTACAAGTGCAGATGACATTCGCAACTTCTCCAAGTCCTAAGACTTTTGTGCTACTCGAACTCGTAGGTCCAACGACAAAGTTGTTCATTGTTTATCTGGAACAATTTATATGGAAGATGGCCTTCAAGAAGTATAGCTTCTTGCTCAAAAAAGTGCAATAAAACCATTTACAAACTTATCAAAAATTTTCTTTGTTTTCAAGGCAGTAAAAGGCTAAAAGCAACAATGCACAGTTAACTTTCGGGATACTTCATTAACTAGTTAGGCTCCAAGAAAGATTTTATACCCAAAATTTCAAACCGGTCCACTTTAAACCGGCCAGCTCGTTCACTCCCTTTCCCTCGCTCGATTCCCGTCAAACACCCCCTCCTCACGTTTCACGCGCTGCATTTACGCCACGTGTCGACATCAAAATCCTTCACATCACCACGCGGCTGCGACCGCTGCCTGTTTTCCCTGCATCTTCCCACGTAAAACAGAGAGCAATGCTATTGACCTTCGCTCTTTTGTCTGCCCACTATGTTTAAGGTCTCGCTTTGTTCATTTTAAATGCCAAAACTTGCAACTGGTGACTGAAGGTCGATGGCAGTTATGTGATATTAAAAAAACATAGGGATAATTCAAATCCAATTGATTTCTATCTCCAGTTCAATTTTCGCCAAAAACCAGCCTTTTCTTTTTCTCTTAACTGCGACAGCACAACTTCCTCAAAGTCCCAACTATTCTCTTTGAATCTAGAACTCTTATTACCATCAAAATCAATTACCAGGAATACTTGCACGAAGCTCATATCCATTCTCTTTGATTCTAAAACGCTATCACCACTTACCTTTCTCTAGGTAAAAGGAAATAAAGGTAACTGAAGTTCTACCTTTGATTCAATCCCATTAGCTCGAAAGAAAAAAAATGTATCTGAAAATGTTGTTGATTCTTTGTTTCTTTCCCTCTTTTGGGTATGTTTCCAACGTAAAAAGAAAAAATGGATGCAGGTATTAACATTTTTTCTTTTATGGGCACATCGTCGGCGGTTAAGTTTTTGGTTTGATATGCAGAGGGTGGAAAGAAACGTTTCATGGTTCTCCAATTCTTCTGTTATTGTGCTATTTTTACCGCCTTATAGATTTTGCTGGTGAAAGATATGAAATTTGATTTTGCTTTAAGGCTTGAAGATGATTTGAATACGTACGATGCATGACAAGTACAGTTAACAAAACTGAAGAAATGGAAGAATTTCATGATTGATTGTACGGCGTCTTATTGTTTGATTGGATTGCATTAAGGAAAGGAAAAGAGAAAGTACAGGATATGTTGCAGCTGTTTACAGAGAATCAGTTTTATTCAAATAACAAAGAGAGTCGGTTACCGGTTACTTTCTCTGTTAAAAATAGAAGTAAAATGTCCAGGGGTTCGCACAACTTAAAAAAGTACGACACGTGTTGTCAAATTGGAGCGAAGTCCATAGAGCGAAGGTAAAAGCGAAGGCCCTTAGCAGTGCTCTATAAACAAAACCCTTCTAAAACAGGAGACAGAGTCATAACTCACGAACCAACCGCTCTATATTTAAACTGCATCCGTCTGTTATACACATCTGATTTTTGTTGCTTCTTCAAATTTCCATTTCCAAATAAATAAAATCTAGCCGGGTTCTTTTTCTCTCCGGTCTCTTAATTCTCTGCCAATTTCCTCGCATTTAATTCTCTCTCTATAGAAATCCTTACTGATAATCATCGTCAATACAAAATTAATAACCGTCCTTTTCCCACATTCTCTGCAACCTTTTTTGTAACAAAATTTCCGGTTTTCTCTCGCTAAGAGTAACCGTCATGAATTATAACCTTCTCACTTCCGCCAACATCCGCGGCCGCCATGTCACCATTTCTCCCATAACCGCCAGGGTGTCCGTTGTTTTGTGTTGAGAAGTTTCCTTATGCATCCACTTTGTTGCATCTCCACCGTGTCCGATCACTCACCGGCGAATCTATCCATGGCAATCACTGCCAGATCCGACCCCAATCCTGGATCAACCACCGTTCAACCACATAACCACAACCAAAACCACAACAACACTAGTCATTTCTCAAATCAACCCCCCCACAACCACAGCACCGCCAACAACTGCAGCAGCAATAACGGAACGGATTGTAACAAAAGTGACAGGATGAGTCACCAGAGAGTTTCTTCTGCGAGGGAGCAACCACTTATACAGGTGGATGTGAAGATAAATGATATAGTAGGGAATGGAATTTCGGGGATTTTATTTAAGTGGGTAAATTATGGGAAAGGTTGGAGGCCGAGATGGTTTGTTTTGCAAGATGGAGTGTTGTCGTATTATAAAATTCATGGACCTGATAAGATTGTTGTTAATCGAGAGACTGAGAAAGGATCCAAAGTTATCGGTGAAGTATCTATGAGACGGATTTCCAGGCCTAAGAATGGGAATTCGCAGAATAGGCGTAAGCCTGTTGGTGAAATTCACCTCAAGGTTTTTCATTATTAGTCCAATCATCTGTGAATACATGATTTATTTGTTTTATCAATTACCTTTTTGATTCGAATGGTCAATTATTATTACTGTGATTTGTTTTCTTTTGTCCGTTCTAATTGAAAATCTTGCTTCCGATGAAAATTAAGTTGAATTTTGATGTTTTACTATTAGATCGATGGCTTTTTTTCTTCTCCGTGATTTTTTTTATGTAGTTATATTTGCTCTAAATTTTGTTTGCGTATTTCTTCTTCTTGTTTTTTTTTTTTTTTAATTTTATTTATCAAAATGAAATTGTGCGACTATGATTGTCTTTTTATGGTTTGTTCCTTTAAGGAATTATTTTTAATTGCTGTTGTTAGGTATCTTCAATCCGTGAGAGCAGATCAGATGACAAGAGGTTCTCAATATTTACTGGCACAAAGAGGCTGCACCTGAGAGCAGAGACACGCGAGGATCGCTTGGCATGGATGGAAGCATTGCAGGCTGTGAAGGATATGTTCCCTCGTATGTCTAACAGTGAACTAATGGCTCCTTTGGACAATGTGGCTGTCTCAACAGAGAAGCTGAGGCAGCGCCTTCAAGAAGAGGGAGTGAGGGAGGAGGTGATACGGGAAGGTGAGCAGATCATGAGAACTGAGTTTGCAGCGCTGCAGAACCAGATAGTGCTTCTCAAGCAGAAGCAATGGCTTCTCATTGACACACTTCGCCAGTTAGAGGTACATGTAATGAAAAGTGCAAAAGAAAATGGCATTCAAAATCGGAATTCTACTTCTGCTTCTACCGTTTCTTCTACCATGCAGAGTTGTGCAAATTCCATTTGATTTCTTTAGATGATAGAAGTAATTTATTTATAGAAGGTGGGGGTGTTTTTGTGTTTTCTTTTGAATCTGTGCTTTTATGTATAGATGTACTTTGTTGATTCTTTTACATGATTATTTTGTATAGAAGTTCATCTGGAGGGTTTATTTCTCAACCTATGTGTATTATTTTCTAGCAATGATCAATTTTTTTTTCTTTTGGAACAAACGGCTTAATTAGGTTCATGTGAGAATGCTAGATTGGAGGTTACATACACAATCCTTACTTTAATAGTTCAGGTTCTCTATTATATTCTGCCAGTTAGTCTAGAGGATGCCTCATCATGTCTTTTTGGTCATAGCCTGAGAGTTTATCATAAGGGTTAAAATGAAAAAAGGTATACCATTTGATTACTTAGTAACAGAGTCCTTCACAGAGGACATATTTTACTGAGTTCAAATTCATATATACTGATCATTTATATCTAGTTTGATTTTTTTTTTTTTAATATCATGATTTATACATCCAGTGTATTATCTTTTCGAATGTGCATTTTGGTGGCAAACAGTATTTTTTTGTTTTTATTGTATATTTGTAATTTGTTTCTCTAATGATTGCAAACTCTTATAGACGTACATAGTTTCATTTTAAAAGAATATTTATCTTATATATTTTAAGTTAATTTCTCTTTTTTGCAAATGTAATGAGTACCTTTGCCAATGTGTGCATTTAGACACCGCAATCTTATCTTTACCTGATGTAATTAATGTCTCAAAAAAAAAAAAAAATTACTAGTATATTAGTTATTCAGTCTAGCAGGCAGTAGTTTTTAGGAAATTGTTGCTTTGACAACAGTGATACTTGGGGGTCAGGTTATTGTCTCAGTGCAGACTGTGCTTGTAATAGTGTCATTTTTACTGGTCGTTTTGGAAGTCAGAGATGCAATACTGATGATGAGATTGGTTTCACCAAGTGCTATGGTATTTGACTTGAGTGAGTTTGGTCACTCTAGAGATTTTTCTTTCTGTTGAGCTGAGTTTTCAAAGACTGTTCTCGTATTTTGTGGTGTTAGGAATTAAACAATTTATTTAGTTCTGACCATATACATGCACAACATAGGCTGGAGACTTGCTTGTTTACCGATGTTTTTCTCGTGCATAGGGGGTATGCATTTTGTATTGCTACACAGATACACACCAATGATTACTTGACTTTTTCTTCAGCAAAAAAATATTGTAGTGTTGGGTTTGGTAGCGAAGTCAGAAGGAGTGGTTCCTGCTAATACCTATTTTCATCATCACTCAATGTATAGACAACTTCTCCTAATGTTGACTCCCTTGATGAGCTCTCCAGCTTTCATGCTTTCTTTGTTCTCCAAACTTGGTATTGCAAGACAGATTCTGTTGAAGCTGGTGAGTGTTGGAAGCAAACAGACCTTGGTTTTCCTGTGGTGGAACTTGTAGTCCCTCCAACAAACTTCACTCACAATGACTGAGGAATTTGTTGACTTCAAAGTCTATAGCTGTAGTTTTTTTTCTTTTTTTTAAAGGATTACTTTCATTTTCCACCCCGGGAGGATGGTTGTGCGACTTGCTGGTGTTTCTGAAGTTTTATACTTGGATTAGCCAGGTTTCTTGCTAAATTATATATATGCAGTAATGGAATTTCTTAAAATTTTTGCACGTACATCTAACCTTGTCATATTTTGAGAAGGCTTTTCTATTGTATTAGAATTCTGCCAGGCCTTTTTGTATTCTTTCAGAGATTTTCTTGATCTTCAATAACTTGGATGCGACAAACCCCTTGGGAAAAGCAAGTTGCCTTCACCTTTTTGTATCTCTTCTAATTAATTTTACTACTTAACCGAAGAGCAGATTTCCATGTTAAGGATTTCTCCATCTACACACACGCAAAAAAAAAAAAAAAAAAAAACAAAAACAAAAACTTGCATCCCAGTTTCTTTGTTATTTTACTGGGAGGTATGGGGTAGAGAATTGCTCAAATTATTGGAGTAGGAAGGAAAGATCAAGTCCAATATTAGTTGTTTTCTCGCCTATTATGAGATTATTATGCTAAAGTAAAGTCTCTTTAGTGCTTAGAACTTGATTTGATGGATTTTTAACATTTTATGCATCTGACAGATTTGATGTTATACCAGAGGCTAAGGATTTCTTGTGTAATATGGGCTATATCGTATCTTTATTTTTATTTTTTTAATATCATACCATTCTCGCCATAAGGATCCATGCTTACTATGTAAACAGCTGTGAGGTGCATATCACCTCTCTGATGCTTGAATTCCCAATTTACTTTCTGTTGCCTTGTGTGCAATATGAATATTTGTTTCCATTTGATGAATCAGATGATGATTCTAAATTTTAGTGTTCTATTGCGCAATGAATTTTTCTCAGTTGTGTGCTGTTTCAATTAAAGTTTGTGACTAACTATGCATGTCTGTTTCTGTTACAACAATATCCATATTAAATATTTCCATGTTTAACCAGGTAACTGCTTTTGTATTGTATTATGTAGACAGAAAAGGTTGACCTGGAGAATACTGTAGTTGATGAGAGCCAGAGGCAGTTGAATGATCAAGGCACATCTTCTTCTCTTCTGAGACAAGACAAGTTTAGTGGTAAGTTCTGCAGTAAAAAATAATTTAACAGCAAGAGTTGATTCCATAAGCTACTATTATTTATACCAAGGCGCTGATGCTTGATTGGTGTTTAGAATCAATTAACAAGTTCCTTTTGTAGTCTATTACTTTCTTCTGTACAACATAAATTAGCTTCATTTCTAGATTACCAGAAATATGAATGAGGTTGTCATGAGAATATCATGCCTTAGTACTAAAGATCTGAAAACCAGGTTGGTATCTGTTTCTCATTAGGGGACATTATGGCATGTGTCTCTCTGAAAGCTAATATTTGCTTAACATTGCAACCTGTAAGACACGAGCCTTTTAGAAGGGTCATGATACTATGACTTGGAATCTGGGATTATTTCTACCTCCTAAACTGAACAACATAAGCTGTAATTGGCAACATATAGCATCTGCATCCTGTTCTGCTTTTCATGTCCTTCGTATGAACAGAATGATTGCTTGTATTGTGGTATTATGGTGAGTCAACTTGTAACAATAAGCTTTCTTTTGTTTCATTGTTGTGCAATGCATTGTAATTGTTGGTTCTCTATGGAAGTCTGAATGTGTAAATGCTTGTGTTTTTCTTTCAGTTTCTTCTTTCATCATTGTGGTGGTTCAATTTCTGATGTTAATCATGTTTGAAATGGTTTTGTGTGTTTTTTGTATATATCATCTTCCCTAGCTCTATGGATGCTTTAGAATTTTATTCTCATTTGTTTCTTTTCTCAGAAGCAAGTGTCAGTGAATCTGATGAAGATAATGAAAGAGTTGATGCTGCGGAGGAAGAAACGGATGATGATGAGAATACGTTCTTTGATACTCGTGATTTTCTATCATCAGGTTCTTTCAAAAGTAACGAGTCTGATTTTCGGACATCGTCATTCTCTTCAGATGATGAAGGGTTTTTTGCTCTTGAATCAGAAGATGGCATTGATCCTTCGATTAGATCTGTTGGATCAAACCATCCTTACATTAAGCGTCGTAAGAAGTTACCTGACCCAATTGAAAAAGAAAAGGGTGTTAGTCTATGGTCAATGATTAAGGATAACATCGGGAAGGACCTAACCAAAGTTTGTCTTCCTGTTTACTTCAACGAGCCTCTCTCTTCATTACAAAAGTGCTTTGAAGATTTGGAATACTCATATCTTCTTGATCGGGCATATGAATGGGGAAAACAGGTAAGTCTATGCATTAGAGTTTTATGCTATTCTTGTCCTTCCATAAAAAGGTAATTAGTCCTATTCTTGGTTATGCATATCACTTTAACAAAGCTGTGGGAACACCTGGTTTTGCTTGATATTACTCTGATGCAAATTTATCTATTGCTTCTTTTAAAGTAGCTGCTGGTTATTCTGCAAATTTAGGTTACATTTCTCAAATGGTTTGTTGTTTCTTCCAGCGATTGATTTTTTAGTTATCTGTCACAAGGAAAATCCAAGTATCGTGGTTTGAATTCTGAGAGGATTATTGGATCATGTGCATTTTGGCATATGATAGAATATCCTTTCATCTAATTCTTAGATATAAATAGTATGAATCCTTATGATTTACAGTAATTATTTCTCTTTTTATCTGCTTGCCCCCTCACAAAAACCCATTGCTTTTGCATTAAACTATGATTCAGAATTTTAAAGGGGAGATAGTTTTCCTTAAAATAGGTTGAACCACGGTGCTTCAATCTTGTGGCAATCTGATTATGTCAGCGTAACAGTATGCCTCTCAAATTTACAATAGACTCTTCAATGGAGCAGGATCATGAAGATTCTCTTGCTTGTTATTTTCTTCTGTAGTGAGACCACGTACATGTTGCATGACCTGTTTTTGCAGTATAATGAACTTTTTGGGTTTTCACATGCATTCCCCCCCCCCCCCAAAAAAAAAAAAAACAATTAATAATTAAAAGTGGGCACAGATGGACCTCCCGATTCTTTTGCTCCTTGTGAATGCTGCACCCATCGGTGTTTCATGTTCACACTTATGCCATTAGTCTTCAATTGTTGTCTTACTTTTTCTTTTAGATAAGCCTGTGCAGCACTGACCTTTTTTATCCATGTTGTGTTTGGTGTTCACACTTATGCCATAGTAGCCTCCAATGGCTGCATCTTTTCTTATATGAGATAAACCTCTGCAGCATTTTCCTTTCTGACCCATCGAATTTCTTTATCTTCAGGGTAATAGTCTTATGAGGATTCTTAACGTGGCTGCTTTTGCTGTTTCTGGATATGCTTCAACTGAAGGAAGAATTTGCAAACCATTTAATCCATTATTAGGGGAAACATATGAGGCTGACTATCCCGATAAGGGCCTCCGGTTTTTCTCAGAGAAGGTTTGTTGTCAACTTACTGAAAGTTCAAAATTAACTGTTTGATGTGATCTATTCTCTTCTAATGTTTGCGCATATATACATTAGAATGATAATAGCTCAGAGTACAACTTATCCAAATTTTGATCCAAAGAAAGAAAAAAGATAAAGGGTTAACCTGGTATTTGGTGGATGTTAAGTAAGTTCCTGTTGAACGACTTCAAATTGCAGCACTAATAAGACTAGGGATTATTACCTAGGCGAAAGGGGAGTTTGGAGGGTTCAAATCTCACTAATGGGGAACACTTTGAATTTAGTAATATGATATCATGTCCAGTAAGAGTGCAGATGATGCTGGTTTTATTATTTATTTGCAATGGAGAAAATGTTGGGAATGATGAGGAGCCTTATTAGAGCGAAGAAAAAAATAAATATGTAGAATTAATGGCAGCTAATTAACCATGAAGACCATGTCATAATATAATCATGGGGAGTTCCAAAAGGAGAAATTGGCACAGATCAGGTATGATGCATGAGTGAGAACTAGATCATGTGGTGTTCCATTCTATCATCTTCGCTCTTCCCTGGAAGATCTGTTTTACTCAGCTCTTAACCATAAGTGTGGAAATTTTATATTTTGGCTGTGATTTTTTCCTTCTTCCATTGTCAAGTATCAAGTAGCTTATTTTATGTAACTTTTATGTCAGGTCAGTCATCACCCCATGATTGTTGCATGCCATTGTGAGGGTACAGGATGGAAATTTTGGGGCGATAGCAATCTCAAAAGCAAATTTTGGGGTCGCTCAATTCAGCTTGATCCCATTGGAGTTTTGACTTTGGAATTTGATGATGGAGAAGTCTTTCAATGGAGTAAGGTAAGTCCTGACTTTTTCTTTTCTCCGCTATGTTCCTGTTTGAAAGTAGACATTTTATTTCAGGTTACAACATCAATATACAATCTTATACTGGGAAAACTGTACTGTGATCACTATGGTACGATGCGCATAGAAGGAAATCTTGAGTATTCATGTAAGCTGAAATTTAAGGAGCAGTCTATTATAGACCGAAATCCTCACCAGGTGCGTGCTCTCTTTATCCTTCTCAAATGATTGTTCAAGATGACAAAAGTTACATATGTATATATATTCTTTTGCCACAAATTTTGCTAATTGACTCCATAAAACTGAAACAAAAGAATCTGCTTCTTGTTATTTGGGAAATTGAGCTTATAGCTTCAAAATCCTTAACATTGTGAATTTCTTTTTGGTTTTATGAAATCATCTACTAGTGATGGCAGATATTTGTTGGTATTAGTTGTAATGGACCATCAGTTTATACAAACTTTTTTTTCAGGTACAAGGAATAGTTCAAGACAGGCATGGTAAAACAGTGGCAACTCTTTTTGGAAAATGGGATGAGAGCATGTATTACATGAATGGCGACTTTTCTGGGAAGGGAAAAGGGTTTGAGTCTATGAAAGAAGCCCAGATGCTCTGGAAGCGAAGTAAACCTCCCAGATTTCCCACCAGATACAATTTGACACGCTTTGCCATAACGTTGAATGAGCTCACCCCTGGACTTGAGGTAGTTTTTATGTTATAGCATTTTTATGCTTGGTTTTCTTGTTCATCTGGCAACATTACAGGGGGAAATCTAGTTTTATGCCCTTCCAGTATTCCTTAACATGCATGCTCATGAAATCATGACTCGACCCCGGTTATCAGCTTTTCCCGTTCATTGGTTTTTTATTCCTGATCTCTCCTTATGTTCAGGAAAAGCTGCCTCCCACAGATTCAAGGCTTAGACCTGATCAAAGATACTTGGAAAATGGTGAATTTGATATGGCAAATTCAGAGAAATTGCGGCTAGAGCAACGTCAGCGCCAGGTAACTTGCATGCTGCTTTTTTCAATTCCAGAATTCTCTGTCTAAGCACTTGGATGATTAGGCAGTATTCCTTAGGTTGAAACATATGACATTTAGACAGTTCTAGGTGCTTGATCTTATAGGGATTGGTTTTGATTCTTCTTATTATTATTATATATATATTTCTTTTTTTAGGGTTGCCAAATACAATGGGGTCTTTCTACAGTTATTTGCTGATATGCTTTGCTAACTTTTTTTTATGTGGTTTGGAGGGTAATTGATTAAATATTGTTTCAATGTGGATTCCAGGCCCGAAATATGCAAGAGAGGGGCTGGAAACCGCGGTGGTTTGCAAAGGATAAAGGAAGTGATTCATACCGTTATGTTGGCGGGTACTGGGAGGCCAGAGATAAGGGAGATTGGGATTCATGCCCTGATATATTTGGCCAGATCCCTATCGATCAGCTCTTTGATTGAATCACTATTGCCTTCTCTGTGTTCTCTATTCTTGATTCATTTTTTTGGTGTCGGTAGTGAACGACTGCTGGAGCAGTCCAGCTGCCCCATGATATCTGATGTAAGTAAAATTAAAATTGATCAATAAAAGAATTTTTTCGTCACTTCCGTCCACGTACCAATCGAAATCTAGTCGATAGTGGCCCCGTAAGAATTGAGCCCACTAAATATTGGTCGAGATGGAACTAGGTCCACTAAAAAGCAGACTGGTTTAATGGGCTAACACATCTAGCTCCCAGTAGTATCTGATCTTATTTCACAGATTTGGTCTGCATACAAACGTTTAATAGAGTTGTGCCAACAGCCGAATATCCACTTTTAGCTTTGTTAACGTACCTGCATTCTTGTGGATTCTATATTTCAAATCCATAGCTCAGGATTTTCCTCCTGTGGTTCCAGCTCATGGGTAGTTTGAGGGTTGTTTATGAAAACACAACGTTTTTTCGGCGATCAGCTGAAAGTTTTGAGATAATTTAATTATTTGAGAGAACTAGGTGGGAAGGAACTGTTTCCCCGTTGAACCGTTCTGACAGATCGAAGATTTCCTTTGGCTTCTTCGATTTGGTTATTCTGCCGAACTACCGGTTATTTCAAGTCTACTCAATGTTCTACAGGATAATGAATAGTTCTTTTGACCCGTCTGCACTTTGATATCTTGCTGAATCATAGATAGGTCTCTTTTAGGCTGCTGGTCTCAGAGGATAAAATCTGAAATTTCTCCCTCTTTCTCAATAGGGTTGCCTTTGTGATGACGCAATGAGGATTGTGTTCTGACACTATAAGATAGCAGCCACAAAACAAAGTTCTCTGCTCCGCTTTCTTTGCATGATAGATTTGATGGATAGGTGATCCGACATTTCCCATATCTCTATAGTAGGATCTAACCGTCCAATCAATCTTGACCGCTCATTCTGCCCTTTTAGACACGGACCCATCTGAACTTATCCAACCAATCAGCCGGCCCAACAACTAAAAAGACAAAACATTTAGAGAGTGTCTAACGTCAGAGCATCATATTCTTGTAATTTTGGATTCATTGGTGATGTTTTTATTTCTAAAATCACAACTTTTCAAGAGATTTACTTCAGCTTAAATTTATGCAAACGAGGCAGTTTGTGAATTTCTCATCTTATGCTTATCCGAGTTACCCGTTTTATATTTAGATTACAGCCGTTTGTAAGTAGAATTTTAACTTATAGTTCAATAATAATGATTTTTTAAAAAAATTATATACTTAAATTCTAATAAATTAATTGTGCTATATGTTTTGAATAAATGATTTATAAATTAAAAAAAAAAAGGTTTCCCCATAGAGTTGGTAGCTGAGCTTATGAGCCTGACAATATAGGGCGGTTTTTTTACTAGCCATTCCGTCTCCCAAAAGAGAAAAAATGCAATGTGGTTTGTGCGATAAATTAGGTCAAAATCCAAATTATATATGTTGATTGTTGTTTTATTATTATTATTATTACTTGTAATCCAGATCTCAAGGCCATTTCACTATAAAATGCTGAAATTGAAGGGCTTAGTCTATGATTCTTCATTTAATTTTTTTAGAATCTTGCAAACGGAAATACTTTAACCGAAAAAAAAAAAGGCAATGATTTTTTTCTCCACAGCTACTGACAGAAAATGAATCTTGAACTTCAATTTTCCTTTTAGAACGAAATTTCTAGAACCTTGCCTTTGATTCTCTATTGGATTTATAGGTTCTTGTAAACACATGTAATCAAACCAGGAGGAAAAAAAATCAAACAATGACTTTCTGCACCAGTTTCTAACAGAAAATTGTACTTTTCTTGAACTTCAAATTTTCTTTAATTTGGAACGAGATTTCTAAGGGTTTTTTATATATGATTTTCACAGTTAAGCAAATAAGAAGCGAAAGTGCGCGTCTTTTGATTCTTAAGATGAGATGAGAGGAGATTCATGATAACGTGAAAAGGAAGAAGTTAAGAAGCGATCTTTTGTAATGACAAAGAACATGGAAAGTGAACTGCCAGAGAATATTGACCAATTAATTGAGTAGAAAAAAATATTGAAAACATGTTAGAGAGAGAGAGAGAGAGTGTGTGTGTGTGTGCTTGCGGCCAGTGACTTGTCCACCTGAGCATATTTCACCCTAACTGTACTTTGAATTGGATTGTAGTACAAAATATGCCTAATAGATGGTGAACTATAGTCTATACCATCTTATGTACCGAGGCGTGAATTACTTTTCCATTAACCAATCCTTGGCCCTTGGGGACCATAACAAGAAACAATGACTCCTGAGATTCTGATGATTTGAAGAGAACAGTTCACAAAACAAATTAAGAAGCTTCAAGTCTGGTTCTGGAGATGACTAGCGCAAAAAAATATAACGTTAGCCTGTTAAGTGACATTCGCTAATTTAGATGTTGTGATTTTCAGGAAAATAACATCTAGCCGCCCAATATATGGCATCATCACATTAAGCAATATTTAAAGAAGAAAAGCTTCTAGACGCTCATGCATGTTCTGCAGGGGCGGTCCTTTGGGTTTTGTACAGATTTGAAGCGCAAAATTTGTTGCGTTCCCCATTTTAAAAATGTGGCAAGGACCCTTTTGAGTCTCATTCAAGATGGGTCTCCTTGTACCATTTTAAGCCCCCCGTCCCAACGGACCATTAGTTCTTGCCATCCACCGTAGCTGAGGAGTATACAATCTCTACTGGCTTTGTTCAACCGCACCTGTCTCCTCACCACTCTCTGCTTGCCTAGCGGCAATGTAAATAACTAGTATTTGGCGGTGAAAATAAGAGGAATTGAAAAAAAATAGTAGGTTTTAATTAATTAGTCTTTAATTTGTTCAATCAAATAATTAGTTTTAAAGCATATATACTGAATTATATATGTGTGTGTGTGAGGAATCATGAAGTCATCCCCATGCATGCACGATATTTTGTTGGTGAAATGTTATGATTTGAGATGTTGGCCGAGACCAACTTTTGCCAAATGTGCTTCCCATCACATGCTCTATGTTTTTTTTATCCGAACGACAGCACGAATATGTTGATTAATAGAATGGCTGTAAACTACAACACGACTTGTCATTTGGTGTCATTCGCGATTTGTCTTCTCCCATTTAAGTATTTGACTACTGAAATCCTGAACCAACTATGCCTCCTATCCTATTATTATATCAACAATGCATTCTTCTCTCATTGCGTGTTAGTTTGTTAAGGGAATGATAAGCCAAATACCCTTAAAGTTAGACCTTAGGTGGTCATGCTCCAATTACATTGTCTCTCACGTAATCATATTGATGCACGTACGAATCAGCACGTCACCATTTTTTCCTTTCGCGAACACTACGTATTCTTTCCCCCTTTCGATTTCTTTTGCTGCAAATATATCGTGGGAGAGAGTGCGCCTAATATTAATGGTTCTCTTTAAAAAAAAAAAAGAAACAGAAAGATCACATGGTTGGTGGGCTGAATTAACAGCGTAAACCCCAAAGACAAGCACCTCGTGTCATGCCCAAGACGAATTTGCGCGTGTTTATCCAACTTCTAGCATGCTTGTTCGTGTTCGGTTTGAACTCTTCTGCAATTCCAGCTGCTTGTCTTTTGTTTTTTCGTTTTTTTTTTTTTTTTTGCTCCTTCAAATTTGCAATTTTAAAAAAACAGGATACATTATTTTTTCTTAATTGGAAAGGCAAACTTGAGCTATCAATTTACAAATGGATGTTATACTAAATCATATACGTGTGTTGCATTTGTTAAGAGAAGAAATCAATTAGGGAAAGTAACTTCCATTGTATTTAATGATAATATCTTTGTACAAATTTAGTTACGGTATTTATACCACATAAGGTGCAATCCTCTCCTTCTCACCTAACTAATTATATACATGTCTAACAAACTATATACAGCTAGATATATAGTTGAAAAATATAATAAATATATCTTCAATACTACTCCTCAAGTTGGTGGTTTATACAAGTTATAAACTCTCAACTTGAACATAAGGTATTAATAATATTTGCTTGTCAAGATTCTTAGTAAATATATTAGTAATTTGCTCTCATGTTTTGACAAACTTAGTCTTGATGAATGCTTCTTTTAGTTTTTCACAAACCAAACAATAGTTGATCTCTATATGCTTTAATCCTTTTATAAAAAGCTAGATTAGAAGCAATATATAAAGCGGGTCGATTATCACAATTTACTTATACTATTTCTAAATCTGTGTAATTCAAATCTTTCAACATATCAAACAACCATATCACTTCACAAGTAGCTGAAGCCATGGCTCGATATTTTGCTTCGGATGAAGATCGAGAGATTGTGTTATGTTTTTTTATTTTCCACAACAAGAGAAAATTGTCAAGAAAAACACGAAACTCGTTGAGGATTTTCTTGTCATAGGACAAGATGCCCAATCAAAATAAAAAATTCTAAGTTGTATAGCACTGGAAAAGGACATCGAGATGCTAAGGCTTGGATTGCCTTTGAGATACTTAAGAATCCTTATAGCTGAATGCTTGTGAGAAACTTTCGATTAGTGCATAAATTGGCTAAGAATCTATATAGCATAGCAAATGTCGGGTTTTGTTACTCGTTAAGTAAATCAATTTCCTAAACGAGTCTTTAATATTCAACATGATTAGGCAGAGTTACATCTAAACACTCTTTGTGAATTGCTTCATCAAACCGAACAGATAGTCGACTTTAGATTATACTCTAAAGGCATTTCTATTGGCTTCATACCAAGCAAACCAACATCTTGTAATAACTTTATAGTATACTTTCTCTAGTTTAAACATATTCCCTCTTTAGATCGAGTAACTCCAATTCCTACAGTATTTCAAACATCCCAAGTCTTTGATGTAAAAACTATCATCCAAGAAAATTTTCAACTTGCTTATCCCTTTCATATCATCTCCCGTAATCAAAATATCATCTACATAAACCAATAAAATAACACTTTTACCTTCGT